AGCAGAGACTTTCACAGCTTCAATAATTAACATTGTTTATGTGAGATCTGAAGAGGAAAATCTTCCTGTAATAAATTACAGAGTTATGAGACGTCAACGTTCATAACACATTTGAACTGGATGCATCTGATTGGACTGAAGGAGTTTTTAGTCCTGAACTTTAACAGATCTGAAAGTTTCTGTTTGATAACAGCTGAAAGATGCTGGAGAATAAAAAGATCCGTAAAAATCAGAGCATCTATCAGTGAAGAGCATCTATTAGAAAAGCAGTTTAAAGCAAAAACTTCACTGACTGGTTCGGTTCAAAACTCATCAGATTTAGTTTCTACTCTTTGTGTCAGATTTCTGAAGATCAGGCTGCAGCTTCACAGCTTTTCTTCAGGAAGTTTCTGCTCTCAGCTGAGACGTTTGTTTCTGATCCAGGATGGTGGAAACTGAACAGTCGTTCACTTTGTGCTGCTGCTGCAGAGCTCAGACAGCCGGCTCCGCAGTACTGGATCCTCTATTAACACCCATGCAGGGCTGCTGCCGCTTTAATGATCCATCAGGAGCAGAACTTGGTCCCATGATTCGTCCTCTGCACTGCCGGAAATAGGAAAAAATAAGATTCACTGGGTTCAGTTAGTTCAATAATATTTAAATAGTAAATATATAGATCTGTCAGTTATGTCATAATTTTGAAGCTATGATTACAGCATTCTGGACAATTGCAATAACTCAATTAGATGAACAATAAATTGTCCCAGAAGTTATTGTGATAAATGATAATGAGCCCATTTTAATAAAACTTAATGACAATAAAAACACATCCTGAAAGATCAAGAACTTTTAAATCCTGGTTAACATTTTTCACTGGAACTGGAAGATACTTTAAATATCTAAAATAAATTAAATAGTTTCTGTAAACAAAACTTCATAAACATCAAACTGAAAAATATCATCCAGTTTCTGGTAGAAAGAGAAAAATTATAATTCAAATGAAAATTATAGAGCTCATTTTATCATGTGATTGATTGATTATTAGTGTATCTGATGTGTATATTTATGTGTTCAAAGCTTTATTAAAGTTGTATAAAGTCACAAGACAAAAAACTTACAAAAACATCAAAACATTGTATTAGATTTTATATTGACTTATTTCTGTTATTGCAATTTCTCTCAAGGAATTTTCCTCAAAACAAAGATATTTTGTTCATTCACTGCGTTGAGCCGGTTCTGCATTGTGAATGAAGTCTCACCTGCCTTCATGGATCCAGCAGAGTAGAAAGGTCAGAGGTCAACCCTCCCCGTCAGTTCCTCCTTAACTGCATGTGAAAGCAGCTAATGCTATGTAGCTCCAGGTTTTCCATCCTGTCTCTCATGATGTCCTGCTGTTGCTTTGCTGCTGTCTGAAGTTTCTGCATTTAAAGTTGAACTGGAACAAAACTCCCATCGAGCCTCAGGGTGATGACTGGGTGATGACCAGGTGATGAACGGGTGATGAATGGGTGATGAACGGGTGATGAATGGGTGATGAACGGGTGATGACCGGGTGATGAACGGGTGATGACCGGGTGATGAACGGGTGATGAACGAGTGATGAACGGATGATGAACGGGTGATGAACGGGTGATGACCGGGTGATGAACGATGAACGAGTGATGACCGGATGATGACTGGGTGATGAACGAGTGATGAACGGATGATGAACGGGTGATGAACGGGTGATGAATGGGTGATGAACGGGTGATGACCAGGTGATGAACGGGTGATGAACGGGTGATGACCGGGTGATGAACGGGTGATGACCGGGTGATGAACGGGTGATGACCGGGTGATGAACGGGTGATGACCGGGTGATGAACGGGTGGTGAACGGGTGATGAACGGGTGATGAACGGGTGATGAACGGGTGATGAATGGGTGATGAACGGGTGATGAACGGGTGATGAACGGGTGATGAACGGGTGATGAATGGTGATGAATGGGTGATGAACGGGTGATGAACGGGTGGTGAACGGGTGATGAACGGGTGGTGAACGGGTGATGACCGGGTGATGAATGGGTGATGAACGGGTGATGAACGGGTGATGAACGGGTGATGAATGGGTGATGAACGGGTGATGAACGGGTGATGACCGGGTGATGAACGGGTGATGAACGGGTGATGAACGGGTGATGACCGGGTGATGAACGGGTGATGACCGGGTGATGACCGGGTGGTGAACGGGTGATGAACGGGTGATGAACGGGTGATGAACGGGTGATGAATGGGTGATGAACGGGTGATGAACGGGTGATGAACGGTGATGAACGGGTGATGAATGGGTGATGAACGGGTGATGACCGGGTGATGAACGGGTGGTGAACGGGTGATGAACGGGTGGTGAACGGGTGATGACCGGGTGATGAACGGGTGATGAATGGGTGATGAATGGGTGGTGAACGGGTGATGAACGGGTGGTGAACGGGTGATGACCGGGTGATGAACGGGTGATGAACGGGTGATGACCGGGTGGTGACCTGGTGATGACCGGGTGGTGAACGGGTGATGAATGGGTGATGACACGTCTGTCCCTCTCCTCTCCATGCAGGCAGCGCCGTATGAAAGATGTTTATTTCCTTACAGGTTTTTATTTTTAAAGCAAGATTGTAACTTCAAGCAGAGTGTGAAAATAATTAAAAGCTAACGTAACACCATCTTGTTTCTGTGCTAAAGCATATTATTAATTTATCAAGTTTCATTTAAATAGCTGAGATAAACCACTGAAATAAAACTGATGGTTTAAACTGAATAAAACTTGAATCACTGACAGGTTTAAACACATTATTTTGTTCCTGTTTGCAGCTGAAGGGTCTCTGGTTCTTTCTGGATTTATCCATACAAAAATATAAGATATATATTTTTTTATATCTGTGACCTCTGACCTGTAGAGCCGCTGGAGGTTCTGCAGGTCGTTTCTAGACAGAACCGACATGAAAGATGAGTCGAGGTCCACTCCTGGTTTTCCTGTTAACTTTTTATTATGCTTTAAAAAAATTAAAAGACAAAGGAGGTGGTGATCAAAGAAAAAGAAAAATATATAATCCATATTCAATCTCTTTATACGTCTCTATTCATATATGATTACCAAAGCAAAGAAAGAATCCCGTAGTGCTGAAGTTCAATATAGACTTTCATTATAACAAAATAGGCAGTTTACCGAAGGTTAAATATCTGTCAAAATCTCTTTCACCTGCGAGCGCCGGCAGGGGGCGCTGCAGGCGCAGCCACAACAACACGTGGTAAGACACTGACGCTGCTGACGGACGTCGCCACTGCCAGGGCCACGCTTCGGCCACAGGGGGCGCCGCTGAGCAGCTGGGGTCGCCATGGTAACGAGGAGAAACCAGAGGAAGAGAAAAAACTTAAGATTTAATTTAACGCAGTTTGATAAAAAATAAAAATAAAAAATTTAACGCAGTTTGGAGGATTTCATGTCAGATGAGGTTAACTGGTTTTAAAAAGAAATATGTTGATTTTACTGTAAACTTTGTAAATATTTCTATTTTTATGTTCTTATAATCTGTAGCAGCTATAATTAAATTCTGATAAAGTCTTTAAACATTTTTAATTCATGATGTGCAACTAAGCTTGTAAAAATAATGGTTTTTATATTTATGATTTTTTTAATCCTAAGGCAAACATGTTTTTTTCCTTCCTGAGTTTTTTTTTAATTATATCATTTTATTTCTAACTGAAAATAAACATGAAAATAAAAAAGTTAGTAAATCATTTCTTTGAAACTTTTAAAATTTAAATTCAGAATCCTGGAGAATTTTTAGAATGAAAATTAAATTGATTTTATATGTGAACTTTTAAATGTCATCCAATCCATAATTTTCTGTTTTGTATTAAATGTTTATGATTTTTGTTCCATCAGCTTTAATTCAATTATTGAAATCTTTTAACAATTTGTTCAAATTTATGCGTTAATTTATGTTCTGTTTTTCCTTTGGCTTCATAAAAAATTTCCATAACAGATTTTGGCACAATTTTAACAAGACTAAAAGAAATATATAATTATTAATAATATTTTGTTATTAAAATAGGATCATTTTTTTATTCTAAAAACAAAATCATTAAAATTTTCTTTCTTTCTTTTATTTTTTTACTAAAATGGGAAAATATTTAAAATGTTCTTTTAATTTCTCCCTTTCAACACCTGAATTTTATGGTATGAAAATGTTCTGTTATTAAAATAAACGGGTTTTATTTTACTCTGACGATAAAATTTGTAAAATAAACTGATGATTTTGCAATTTTGTTTGATTTTTGGCACTAAAGTTTATTTAGAACGTTTTTCTGTGCATTTAGTCTTAAATTTACCAAAAAAATATGTCAGTTTAAATTCATGTGAATTTGATTGAGTCTAATAAACCGTTAATCATTTCTGTTTGTTTTAATTTATGAGTTTAAAATCAGCTCGTTTTTCGGGGAGGATTTCTTTGGCGCCCTCTGGTGGCAGAGCGAAGACCCTGCAGCTTCCTGACAGACGTCCTGCAGCAGAGGAGCGAAAATGTTCAAAACTAAACATGAATCAATAAAAAAAGACAGAAAAGCTGTGACAGAAGCTGTGATGTCAGACGCTGAGGTGAAGGGGCTGATGGGAAATCAACGGGTTTAAACCGACATGCTGTTAAAGCTCAAACGTGCAAAGTTTTGCTTTTTGTGTCTCTGATTCCTCCGACCCGACAAACGGAGCCGGCTGGAAAAACCCACAAAGAAAACAAGAAAAAGGAAGAAAATCTGCTTCGTACGTTTCCGAACTCTCCTCCGAAGTTCTCCGTCCTTAAACATTAAGGAGCTGTACCCTGCTGAGTGTGATGTCACTTCCTGTGTGCTTCCAAATCAGGCGGAACAACATGGAGCCGTCTGCTGATCGCTGAGGGATGACGGATGGATGGATGATGGATGGATGGAGGGTGAGGCTGCCGTCTGCAGCTGGACTCTTCTTCCAGAATACCCAAGTGATGAGAGGAGCGGCGGCGCCTCATAGCTTCTCCTTGGACAGAACCCAGATGAACGGACCCGACTGATCCTCGATGATCTGCTTCACCTGATCGTAGATCTCCTCCAGCGTGTCGCCCTGGACAACGGCTGCAGGAGGACAGAGGAGGCGGGTCAGCGGTCCAAAACACAGCAGAACCAATCAGAACCAATCAGAACCTTAAAGGGGATAAATCATGTAAAATCAACTTCCAGGCATTTTGAAGAAATCCTTCAATCTCCATGGCAACCACCTGCCCAAAACACCTGGGGGACCAAGCCCCGCCTTCAAGACGCAGCTCCTTCAGACTAGCCAGCAGCAATTAGCAGAGCTCATTACAGGAGCTGCTGCTCAGAGCATCACTGGTAAAAAAATTAAAGGGTTAATAGAGGAGCCATGTTGGGACTTCCTGGAGGCGGAGCTTCAGGAAGAACCAGAGTTTTTAAAGAGACAAGACCCAATTTCAAGGTGTTAAAATTACAAAATCAATTTCTATTGAGTCATTTTTGATTTAGAGCATTTTTATAGCAGCTGAAGGAAAAAGTTTCTTGATTATGTTGTAAAAAAACACGACACTGGCCCTTTAAACACAATCCTCCAATTAAAGCCTGGGAATCGTTTCCTCCATCTGCAGAAACTAAACGTTCTGGTTTCATCTGGATTTATAATGTTCTGAAGAACTGGACTGCAGGTACGGGTCAGAACCACCAAACACAGGTTAAGCAGACCTGGTTTCAACCCAGGTGGTTCTGAACCCAGGTGGTTCTGAACCCATTGGCTCTGAACCGGGTGGTTCTGAACCCGGTGGCTCTGAACCAGGTGGTTCTGAACCCAGGTGGTTCTGAACCCAGGTGGTTCTGAACCCAGGTGGCTCTGAACCCGGTGGTTCTGAACCCATTGGTTCTGAACCCATTGGCTCTGAACCCATTGGCTCTGAACGGGTGGTTCTGAACCCGGTGGCTCTGAACCGGGTGGTTCTGAACCCGGTGGCTCTGAACCAGGTGGTTCTGAACCCAGGTGGTTCTGAAACCAGGTGGTTCTGAACCCGGTGGCTCTGAACCCGGTTCCGACCCGGTTCTGACCTGTGAAGTGCTCGGTGAACTCCTGCTCCAGCTTGGCGGCGCGGTCGAATGTTTTCCTTCCCTGTTCGTCCGTCAAACGTTTGTTCATCTCCCTGCAGGAAGAGCAGAACCGGGTCAGCGCTGGAGAGAACTCCGGATCGGATCGGTGAAACCGGGTCGGACCGGACCGGGCCACTCACATGATGTTCTCCACGGATTTGGGTTTGATGAAGATGGCGATGGGGTGCAGCAGCGCCAGCTGCAGCCTCTTGATGGCGTTGCCGGACACGTCCAGGATGCAGTGCTTCCCCTGAACAGAACCAGAACTCAGGCTCCGCTCCGGGCCGCGGCTCGGCCCGAAGCGGGGCGGTTCCGTACCTTCTCGGCCACCTGGCGGACGGACTGCACGCTGGTTCCGTACAGGTGGTTGTTGTACTGGCCCGCCTCGATGAAGCGGTGCTCCTGGATGTCCTTCTCCATCTGCTCCCGCGACGCCACGAAGTGGTAGTCCCGCCCGTCCACCTCGTAGTCCCGTTTGGGCCGGGTCGTATCTGCAGCGGGACACAGGCACAGCCGTTACCCGGGTCCGATCCGGTCCGCTCCGGTCGGGTCAGAGGAGCGGCGCCGGCCGGACGGACGTACGCGGGACGCAGGAGCCGAATTTATCCGGGAATTCGGAGATCAGGTCGTCGTTGATCCGGTCCTTCATCGGGCCCAGGATGATGACGGGTCGGGTGTAGTTCACTGCCAGAACAGAAAAACCCGTTTCTGAGCAAAACATTGTGATTTTGAACATTTTATGCTTTTTATTAAAAGACTAAACAGTAAAATATATGCTCAGATTTTAATCTAATTGTTTTATTTCTATTTTTTACTGACTTGTCCAGCAGGTGGCAGCATCACCGTCTGTTCGACTCTAATCTACATTTATTTTGATTTAAATACAATTAAGAACATTTTAAACTTGACATATAATTAATCCTGAAACTTGAAATAGGACATTTTCCAAAGATATTTGTAATCCTCATTTTCTTAATTTGATTAAAATATTTTAACTTTTTTATATATTTACCATGTAAACCAATGCATTATTTATTTATACTAAAATATAGTCATCCAACCTGTAAGTAAAAAATAAATCTATTTAGATTTCATTAATTTAAACATCACTGAAATATATTTTCATTTTTCTGTTATGTAGTTTATCAAGTTCTACATACATATATTAGTAAAAAATGCTTTAATATTTAGTATCCAGTAATAATATCAAATTGTTTTTCTGGATATTTTAATAATAAAAGTTCTTTGGATTCTGATCAGAAATATTTTATTATCATCCCAGTGAATCTGGATGAGGAGGAACCCAGGAGAACCGCCGAGGTTCTGATCGGTTCTGATCGGTTCCGAGTTAAATCTGTGAATCTTTCAGCTGCTGAAGCTTCAATCTGAATCAGCTGTCAGTCGGGTCGGGCCGGTTCTGGAGAACTCACCTTCCTGCTGAACGACGGGTTCGTACGACAGAACGTACTCATCCTGCCCACCTGAGGACAAACAGAGACGTTAGGAGGAAGAGGAGGAGGAGAAAGAAGAAGAGGAGGAGGAAGAGGAGGAAGAAGGGGAGGAGGAGGAGGAGGAGGAAGAGGAGGAAGAGAAAGAGGAAGAGGAGGAAGAGGAGAAAGAGGAGGAGGAGGAAGAGGAGGAGGAGGAAGAGTGGTGCTGAGGGACGAAGGCTCAGCAGGAGAACAAACAGCCGACCGGCTTTCAGGAAGAAACGTTTAAATCAATAATCAGAAACAAAAAACTTTACAAAGTTTTAAATAATGAGTAGAGTTCAGGTTAAAACGAGGAACTGGAACCGGAACCGGACCCGATTCCATCAGGTTTAATGTTCTGGTTCAGATTCAGGTTCCGTCTGTGGTCTTCAGCTCAAGACACGATCCAGAATCATCACAACGGTACCACCGGGTCGGTTCTGAAGCTGCCTGAAGGTCTGACCCCAGTAGAACCAAACAGAACCAGTTCAGACTGGAACTGGTTGGGTTAATAAACCAGTTTAAATATGAATGTGATGAAATATGAAAACTGTTCAAATAATCCACATCAACATGATAATGTTGATGGGGCGTCTGATTGGCTGAATGCTACCAATCAGCAGGTAGCATTCATTAAGCTAATGGGTTAGCCGTTATAAACCAATCAGCAGGTAGCATTCATTAGTGCTACCTGGATGGATCAATAATCTCAATCTGAGGTGTAGATTAAATATTTAAAGCCCCACAGACAGAAAACTGAAATCATAAACTTTCAATTTAAAGGTCCAGAAACACTCTGGTCCAAAAACCCAGAACTTCAGAAGCAGAACAGAACCAGACTGAAGAAACTTTAATTAAACAGCACAGAGCTGTGATGTCATGCTTTATCTGTCCAATCAGCAGGTAGCATTCGTTAAGCTAATGGGTTAGCCGTTATAAACCAATCAGCAAGTAGCAATCGTTAGGCTAATGGGTTAGCTGTCATAACCAATAAGCAGGTAGCATTCGTTAAGCTAATGGGTTAGCCATTATAAACCAATCAGCAGGTAGCATTCGTTAAGCTAATGGGTTAGCCATTATAAACCAATCAGCAGGTAGCATTCGTTAAGCTAATGGGTTAGCCGTCAGGCTTCAGATCGTTAGTGAACCGTCGGCAGAACGGCGGGAAAACTTACGGTAGCTACTTTCACTATCGCTGGCGTTAGACGTCACATGTTCTGAAATCACAGGAAACAGCCAATCAGACGCCAGCGTTCCCACAATGCTTTGCTCCAAGCCGGCCTCGGCGGCGCAGTTTTATGAGTTCACAGAAATATGACGCACAGATGGTAATAGAATCTGCTGCCTCACGTTTAACAACCAACCAATCAGACGCATTCAAACTGAACCTTTCACAATAAAAGCCTTGACAAAAATTCAGATCATTTTTCTAAAACAAAACATCCGAGCTCTGTTGGACCCGCCCAGCAGCTCAGAGACCCGATGGCCCGGTCCATGAAGCCGGGTCGGACCGCAGGTTCTGGTTCCAGATCAAACCACTGGGGGAACCGGGAAGGTTCGGTTCTGTAACGTCCAGCTGGACAGAACCAGGTCTGAACTCTGATCCAGCTCTCTGATTGGTCCATCACTCAGCGGTCCAACACGCTCTGGTTCTGGTTCCACTCTGCTATCCTTCTGGGTTGGAAAGGTTCGGTCCAACTAACAGCTGGAGCTTCCCAAAGCAGCAGAACAGATCTGAACCCAGATGTAACTTCCGGGTCAGATTCTGATGGAACCAAGAAGTTTCTGCTCCATCTGGGAAGCGTCAGAACATTTCCGTGGTTCTGGTTGGTTCTGGTCCCAGACTATTATTCCCTCTGGTTCTGGATGCTGTGCAGCTGGATGGATTTCTGCTCTGACTTTACTGCAGTTATGACGCTCTAACAAGATGCTCTTCTTACACCTGGAGCAGCTGATTAGCGTCTCAAAAGCTCAAATCATCAAATGAACTTTGACCCTAAAGCCCAGAGGAATGAAAAGCTTCATGGAGCTTCAAGGAGGAAGTTCAGAGCATCACTAAGACCTTTACATTTATTCAGTGGCTGATCTTATCTCCACCTCCAGCATCTCTCTGACCAAACAGAGAGAGGAGCAAAAGCAAAGGAGCTGGATTAGCAGAGCTGCTAACAGCTGGTGGAGTCATCCAGCCCGTCACTGTGGAACATCATCTCTGCTGGCTGGATAAAGAGCTGTTAGCACGTTAGCATGAGGCTGCCATGCAGTCTTCAGTCAGAGGCATCTTCAGATTCGCTGTGAGACTGACTGCTACAGGAGCTCCTTCCAGCCCACAGCATCACCGACCACAACGACTCTGAGGATTCTCAAACTTTCTGACTTTCATGTTCTCTCATAAATAAAGTATTTTTGAATTTGAGTTATTGAATTTTGAAAAGGTCCAGGATGTTGGACAAAACGAAGCGCTGATGAGAAACAAACGGATCCGTGAAGCTCTGAGGATGAGGAGAGGAAGGTCTCAGCCGGCGTCTCCACCAGGACAGAAACTAAAAAACATTCCTTTCAGAATCAATTTTGAACTGCAACTGAAAAAAACCCTGAAAAACTTACCAAAAACATCTATAAAATATTAACACTTTCCACTTTTTATTTATTAATAGTTGATTATTTACGTTTTTTCTTGTTTTGGGGTCTCAGCTGGAATTCAGAAAGAAAAAACTAAATTCACAGATTTAATCCAGATTAATAAAGAAATTATGGATCCATTTCTACTAGTTTTTTTTTTAGCTGAAAGGACGCCAAACTGCGGGACGACCTGCAGAGGGACGACCTGCAGAGGGACGTCCTGCAGAGGGACGACCCTCTGCAGGACGCCAAACTGCGGAACGACCTGCAGAGGGACGACCTGCCGAGGGACGACCTGCAGAGGGACGACCTGCAGAGGGACATCCCTCTGCAGGACGCCAAACTGCGGGACGACCTGCAGAGGGACGACCTGCAGAGGGACGACCTGCAGAGGGACGACCTGCAGAGGGACATCCCTCTGCAGGACGCCAAAACTGCGGGACGACCTGCAGAGGGACGACCTGCAGAGGGACGACCTGCAGAGGGACGACCTGCAGAGGGACATCTGCAGGACGCCAAAACTGCGGGACGACCTGCAGAGGGACGACCTGCAGAGGGACATCCCTCTGCAGGACGCCAAACTGCGGGACGACCTGCAGAGGGACGACCTGCAGAGGGACGACCTGCAGAGGGACGACCTGCAGAGGGACGACCTGCAGAGGGACATCCCTCTGCAGGACGCCAAACTGCGGGACGACCTGCAGAGGGTCGTCCTGCAGAGGGACGACCCGCAGAGGGACGTCCCTCTGCAGGACGCCAAACTGCGGGACGACCTGCAGAGGGACGTCCGGCAGAGGGACGACCCGCAGAGGGACGTCCCTCTGCAGGACGCCAAACTGCGGGACGACCTGCAGAGGGACGTCCGGCAGAGGGACGTCCTGCAGAGGGACGACCTGCAGAGGGACGACCTGCAGAGGGACGACCTGCAGAGGGACGTCCCTCTGCAGGACGCCAAACTGCGGGACGACCTGCAGAGGGACGACCTGCAGAGGGACGTCCTGCAGAGGGACGTCCTGCAGAGGGACGTCCTGCAGAGGGACGACCTGCAGAGGGACGACCCGCAGAGGGACGACCTGCAGAGGGACGTCCCTCTGCAGTCGTCCTGCAGTGGGACGGCGGCCTGGACAGGCGTCGTCCCGGTGGAGACGCTCGCCCCGCCGCCTGCAGCGTTTCTACTCACTGTGGCTCTTGCTGGTCGGGTCGTCGTTGTTGTCCTGCGGTCGGCAGAAACAGAAACAACCAGAGAAACACAGAGTTACTGAGATCCGGCGGCAGACGAGAGAGCAGAGGGAGCGCAGCGGTCGGCAGGGCGGCCATGTTGGCTCCCCGCAGGAGCAGGAAGGAGGGACTTCCTGTCTGGGGTTCTGGATCGGTTTTAGCCGTCGGCCCAATCTGAGAGGTTGTCGGGAGCTTAGGGCTGTTGCCGTGACGACCGCTGCGCGTGCCGCCGCCAGCTGATCTCTCTTCCTGCCGCGGAGCAACGGGCCGGCGGGGACTTACGGTCGGCGTCGCTGGTCTCCTGCTCGCTCGGCTCTTTGCTCTTGTAGAAAGGAAACTTTCGGGTAAAGAGGTTCTTTTTACGCTTGTCATTGACGGACTGCTGAGGAAGAGGAAGGGCGTGAAAACAACACGGGAGAGGAAGAGGGCTGGACACGCTGACGACAGCGCAGAGGTCAAAGGTCAGGCCCAGGGCCACATCCAGGTCCCGGAGCCAGAGGTTCTGGTCCGGAGCCAGAGGTTCTGGTCCCGGCCCAGTAACTGGTTCTGTTAGAGCTTCTGAGGCTGGGATTTCCTCAGAGTCAGTGAAGGCAGCACAGCGGTGAGGAAGAGGAGGGAGGGAGCATGCCGAAGACGAACAGGAAGTTAGAGGCGGCAGGCAGGAAGCTGTGGACCCGTCCTGGCCCGGCCCGGTTCTGGGGCCACAGCTTGGTTTGCACAAACGGCTCCCCTCCTCCGCCTGTTGCTGTCAGTCAGCATTTAGTCCCAGACCAGTTAATTCACATCCAATCTGGATTTTAATCCATGAAATGAATTGATGTGGATTAAACTGGAGGTTAATCTGAAACATGATCTGGTCGACCAATCACATCCCAGCTACAATGACACTAAGGAGCAACATAATCAATCATAAAATACAACTTAAATATATTTTAATTAGAAATCAGATAATGAAAATATTTTCTAGAAATATTTAGTTATAAATTAAATCATGTTTTGGCCACCAGAGGGCAACACTGTAATCTAATTATTCTTAATTTAGGATAATTTAGTAAAAATCTGCTTATTTCTGCTTATTTCTGATGATCATTTATTATTTTGTTTACAGTTTAGTTTTTTATTCTCCTTTTAGTCTCCAGACGTTCTGGAGTGACCGATGGGATCAGAGAGAGGAAGAGGAGGGAGGGACGAAGCAGGCAGGCAGTCAGACATCAATGTCAAGCGTTTCTCTGTGAGGGGGTCAGAGGTCATGCAGGCTCTGTGGGCGACGCGCGTGTTAAAGTAGCACATGTTCTAAAGGGGGAGCTGCTGCTGAGTCTCAGGTAGGCATGCTGCTAAAGGCTAAGACGCTGCTAAAGGCTAAGACGCTGCTAAAGGCTAATGGGCCAGACGGTGCTAACAACTAACGGCCTAACGGTTGCTAAGCTCTTGTCCCTTACTACGGATCAGAGGCCGGGTCAAAGGTTAACAAGCTTGAGATGACTAACAGACTAAGGACAGCTAACTGTTAGCGCTCCATAAGCTGTTAACAACTGGAGAATGAAAAGGTTATCTAGTCTGATGTAACTAACTGCTACATTAATGAACAGGAAGCTGGTAACGGCTACTAGGCTAGCAGTGGCTAACAATCTGTTAACAGTTAACGGGCTAGCGGTGGCTAACTATCTGTTAACGGGCTAGCGGTGGCTAACAATCTGTTAACAGTTAATGGGCTAGCGGTGGCTAACTATCTGTTAACGGGCTAGCGGTGGCTAACAATCTGTTAACAGTTAATGGGCTAGCGGTGGCTAACAATCTGTTAACAGTTAATGGGCTAGCGGTGGCTAACAATCTGTTAATGGTTAACGGGCTAGCGGTGGCTAACAATCTGTTAACGGGCTAGCGGTGGCTAACAATCTGTTAACGGGCTAGCGGTGGCTAACAATCTGTTAACGGGCTAGCGGTGGCTAACAATCTGTTAACGGGCTAGCGGTGGCTAACAATTTTTTAACAGTTAATGGGCTAGCGGTGGCTAACAATCTGTTAAGGGTTAACAGGCTAGCATTGGCTAACAATTTTTTAACAGTTAATGGGCTAGCAGTAGGTAACAATCTGTTAAGGGTTAACGGGCTAGCGGTGGCTAACAATCTGTTAACGCGCTAGCGGTGGCTAACAGCCAGAGGCTGCAGACTTTAGTCATTAGTAGGTAGAGAGATCAGGTGGCAGCAGCTCAAACACTTTAAATCCACATTTCTGGAGGCAGAGAGTCAAAGGTCATGCAGCAGGTAAAATGCTTCATGTTTCAAACATTTGATCATTTCTACTCTAAAGCCAGAAACATGGTTCATCACACCAGGATCCTCTGGTTTCTTTCAGGAGGACTCACCCCTCGGTCTCTTGACTTGGCGTTGAACTTCACCGTCTTTAACCGCGCTCGCTCCTTCTTCTCCACTCTGCAAAAACCACAGAAGAAGAAGCTGAGTTGAGCAGGAAGCAAAACCGGCGGACCAAACCAAGCAGAGGATCATTCTGGTCCCATCTGGTCCCACTGGGTCTCCTGTTCACCTCTAACCCCTCTGACCCCAGCAGCAGCCGGGCCCTCCGTGGGACTGACCTCCTCTTGCTGGGGATCACTCCCACCTCCTCCTGCTCCCCCTGAGGCGTCAGGTGCCGGGCCTGCCACCACTCGTCGTCCGAGGCGTTCACCACATGCAGGATGTCTCCGAACTTGAAGTTGAGGCCCTGGCTGGGCAGACCCGAGTCCCGCGTCTTGTCGTACTCAAACAGAGCTCTGAGACGCCAGACAAACAGAGTGAATGAAGCAGGCTGGCCTCCGCTGACCTCCAGGTGAACCACCTCACCTGACGTAGAGAGACCTCTTCTGACTGGTCCGCAGCGACCCGGAGCCCGAGCTGATGCTGCTGTTCATCATCTGCTCCCGCAGGTCGTGGATCTTGGCCTCGAAGCGGCTGTACTCTGAGCAGAGGACACGGCGGGTCAGTGACGCCCAGGTGAGTCCAGGAGGCCGTCCTCCCGCAGGTAGCCTCACCTTCTGGCCTGTAGTGGGCGACGATGGTCACCGTCTGGCCGGCGTTCTTCAGGGCGGCGGCGGCCTGCTCGTGCGTGGCGTTCCGGAGGTCAACGCCGTTCACCTGGAGGCGGGAACATCACCTGTTGCTCTGAACCAATCACAGCGCGGGACGATTTAATGGGCGGAGCTCCTACCGACACCAGGCGGTCTCCTTTCCTCAGCTCCCCGCTCAGGTCTGCCGGACCGCCGGCCAGGATGAAGGAGATGAAGATGCCCTCGCCGTCTTCGCCGCCCACGATGTTGAAGCCCAGACCCGTCGCCCCGCGGTGCAGAACCACCTTCCGCGGCTCCCTGCGGTCACACAGCCGCTCGTCATGTGACCTCGGGTCATGTGACCTCGGGTCAAGCAGCCAATCCAGGAGCTCCAGCCGGTTGTCTGTGGTTGTGCTGAAATGATCCCCGCTGTGGGTACTGATGTATAATGAGCTGTGAACTTTGACCCCGATGGTTACTGGGGCTCAGCAGAACCACAGCAGTTTGTTGGAGCTCCTGGGCTGACAGTTGAATTATTTGTCATTTTTCTCATTCTGTACAGGTTCTAACTGAAACCTGAAGCGTTTTGTTCGTCCCAGCCGGATCTGGTTACTGAACTACATGTTAACCTCGCTGGTTCTGATCCAGAGGAAGTCTGGCTGCTGGAAGCAACAAACGTCAGGAAACCTAAACGATGTCCTCACCGTGTGACGTCATCTTCTCCCAGAATGCCCTTCGGCGTGGGCGAGTATCGCCCCGACGACGCCGGCGGGGGCAGGCTCTGGCCCAGGAAGTTGGGGGGGCTGATATGGTTCTCCACGTGCTGCGTGTAGGCTGGAACAGAACCGCAGAGACGAGCAGGTGAGTACAGGACCCCAGCTGGCCCCTCCCCCACCTGTTGGCTCCGGTTACCACCGGACGGAGACCGGAGCGTTGGGGGAGCCAATCAGCTCGCTTTGCTTGAAATAAACTCAAATGACCGAAAGTTTCCCAAATTCCCAAAGATTTTTCAGATTAAATATTTCCAGCATCACCAGGAATTAAAAACTCCAAACAGAAATAAAATCCCAATAAATCCAACATGTCTCCACTTTAAGAACTCGCTAGAAACTCAACTTAAAGTGAGTTTAGGTGGGCATTTAGTTCTCATATAACTGTCAAAGCCCCAAATTTTAGAAACAAATACATCAAAGGGGCGGAGCCAAGATAGCCGGATGGGCGTGGCCAAGTCCAATAGGCTGAGTGGAGGGAGGTGGGGCTGAAGAGGAGCACCAAAACCCACTCCGAAACTTTTCAGACGCTCCAGAAGTTATCCTTTACAGCAACAGATTCAGCAAAATTCACTTTTGTTTTTTAAACTAATGACAAATCTGGCAACTTTTTTCTGTTACTAGAAACATTTATGTCGCTCTGCAGACACTGTTTCCAGAGATTCCTGACAAAAAGAGAAATGACTGAACTAAAGGTGCATTTGACATTTTGTGGCTTACTATCCTATCGTTCCACAGCGTCTGATCCACTCGATTGACCAGGGATGAGGCTTGTTAGCTGCAGTAGATCCCTCCTGATCTACTGCAGGAAATGAATCGTTTGAGGAACTGATTCATTTCCTGCTGAATGAATCTGTGACGGCAGCCTGCGTTCACCCACCAGGTGAGACCAGGGGAGGTTCTGGCGGCTGCAGCAGCAGCTGGACTCACAGTTGGTGAGGTCCGGCGGGGCGAAGCTGTCGTTGATGAAGACACTGTTGGGTTTTGCCACTTTCAAGTAGACAACATCAGGAGTGTTTTTCAAGGCAGTGACGGCGTGTTCATGGGTCACCTCCTCCAGACAGAGGCTGTTCACCTGGAAGAACAGAGAGGAACGTCAGAGGGCGGCCATGTTGGCCACCAGAGCGCCCGGCGGCCATGACGGCCCCCAGAGCGCACGGCGGCCATGTTGGCTCTGCGTTCAGGGACTCACGGCCAGCAGCTTGTCTCCGATCTGCAGCCTGCCGTCCTTCTGCGCGGCGCCGCCTTCGATGATTGGTGACGTAGATGCTGTTGTCTCCGGGGATGTGCTGGTTCCCGACGCCGCCGCGATGCTGAAGCCCAAACCTTTGGGTCCTTTCACCAGCTTGAGCTCCATCACCTTCTCTGACAGCGGTTTCCTCCGCCGGATGTAGAGGCGCACCAGACCCCGCCTCCTTCAGCGCCTCCACGGCCCGGCTGTGGGTCACGTCCCGGACGTCCACCTCGTTCACCCGCAGGATGACGTCGTTCACCCTGAGACACACAGAGACATCAACAGGTAGCTCATCATCATCATCATCATCATCATCATCATCATCATCATCATCAGGGCCGGCCTTCCCTGACGTTGAACCAGAACCAAACAGTTTATGATCATCAATTATTGTCGTCTCATAAAATCCTGACCCATTTTATTCCCACCTTTAAAATATTTCATTAAATTTCTTCATTATTTTTTAAAATGAATTAAAGTCCTGGGAGAAACTTTATGGCTTCACCAGAATTCAATAAACTTTTCTTCAGTTTGATTTGGATCATGTTAACTGGAGTCAATATTTAATAAACACACATCAGAGATGAGCGTTTATCAGCAGAAGTTAAATATAAGCTAACGGCTACATGCTAACACTTTATGCTAACACTTTATGCTAACACTTTATGCTACCTTGGCTTTAGCTGCAGTTAGCCTAGCCGCCAACATGGCGCAGCGATGCTGATTGTCTGTTTTCTGAAACTTTTCATCACAAGATGTGGGCAGACCTGGGCGTTGCCATGGTTACAACCATCTTTTTGAGCGTCTCGGTTAAACCGCGTCCTCACGACGCGCGCTGCTACCTGAGCCGTCCGTCCTGAGCGGCTGCTCCTCCAGGGATGACTTTGGTGATGAAGATGCTGGGGTCTTCGCCAATGGGGGTTATCGGTCCCTCCGGCGATGCTGAAGCCCAGCCCAGAGTTTCCCTGCATCAAAGCCACAAAACGTGCTCAGCTTCCATGTTTTGATGGTGATCACTGTTTGAGTCGGATCCAGAGTTCCTGAGGTGTCCTTACCCTCTCCAGCGTGATTTCCTCGTACTCGTATTCAGCCTCCGTCCCGTTCACCTGCAGACACAAACAGCAGGAAGGTGATGGGGAGAATCAGATTCACACGTTCACATCGACCTGGAGCTCAACATGTCCGAACATTTCTGATCTGATTTGATCTTATTTACATAATCTGACTGTAAAACGCTACAAGTCTGAATCTGTAGCTAGTTTACAGCAGCATGAGATCAACTGAGTCACTGTGGATATTAGCATTAGCATGCTAAATCTAGCAGTAGCATCTAGCTGGACACAAACTTAAAGGACAGAACGAGTAAATTATTCAAATCTGCGTCTCAATTTTAGATTGAAACTTTGAGGATTGACATGATTTGGTTCACTGCTGCAAACTCAGTTGGTGATATTAGCATCAGGGAGCTAACACTAGCGTTAGCAGGCTAATATTAACCAAGGCTGCATTCCGGTTGGTTTGAGCTGACGGAGACTCACGTATGGCGGCGTGTCCAGGCTGTCGGTGTTGACCACCACGGGCGGCGGATTGGCCTGAGGAGAGAACCAACATCAGCACCACCAGAAACTCCACCCCGCCAACGCCAGGCAGACGCTCGCCACGCCTCTTCACGCTGCAGACGCTGCACTTGTGAAGCATGAAGGCTGGAATTAAAGGAACGGGACGCTGCGACGCGGACCGGTGGCCCGCTTCAAACCTCTCCTGATTGGCTGAAACCAGACAGGTTTCTGCAGCAGAAACCGAGCTAAACTCATCAAAACGAGGTGCATGGATGGATGGATGGATGGATGATGGATGATGATGGTTGGATGGATGGATGGATGATGGATGGATGGATGGGTGGGTGGATGGATGGGTGGATGGATGGATGGATGGATGGATGGATGGATGGGTGGATGGATGGGTGGATGGATGGATGGATGGATGGATGGATGGATGGATGGGTGGATGGATGGGTGGATGGATGGATGGATGGATGGATGGATGGATGGATGGATGCATGGATGGATGGATGGATGGATGGATGGGTGATGGATGGATGGGTGGGTGGATGGATGGATGGATGGATGGATGGGTGGGTGGATGGATGGATGGTGGATGGGTGGATGGATGATGATGGTTGGATGGATGGATGGATGGATGGGTGGGTGGATGGATGGATGGGTGGATGATGGATGGATGGATGGGTGGGTGGATGGATGGATGATGATGGATGGATAATGATGGATGGATGATGATGGATGGATGGATGATGATGGATGATGGATGGGGATGGATGATGATGGATGGATGATGATGGATGGATGGATGATGATGGATGATGGATGGATGGATGGATGGATGGATGATGATGGTTGGATGATGGATGGATGGATGGATGGATGGATGGTGGGTGGATGGATGGATGGATGGGTGGATGATGGATGGATGGATGGGTGGGTGGATGGATGGATGATGATGGATGGATGATGATGGATGGATGAATGATGATGATGGATGATGGATGGATGGATGGATGATGGATGATGGATGGATGGATGGATGATGATGGATGGATGATGATGGATGGATGATGATGGATGATGGATGGATGGATGGATGATGATGATGGATGATGATGATGGATGATGATGGATGGATGGATGATGATGGATGATGGATGGATGGATGGATGGATGGATGATGATGGATGGATGAAGCACAGAGACAGAAACAAAAGCGAGGGAAATAAAAAATTAAACCTGTGACGCTGCGGGATGGTGGAGGTCTCGGCTGGGATTGGAGCGATGGGGATCACAGGGATTATAGAAGAGCAGGGCGGGGGCCTGGGCCTGCTGGTGAGGGTCAAAGGTCAGACAAACACAGATGGAGAGCAGGAGGATGGAGTAGAACTGAACTGAAAACAGCTGGAAGTATCAGAGGAATCAACCAATCAGAGGAGGAGTTCCAGAAACTCGTCTGCTGCTCTGAGGATCACCGCCATGCTGCGTGTGTGTGTTTGTGTGTGTGTGTGTGCAGGAACTGCCTCAGCAAATCTAGATGCTCACAAGGTCAAAGGTCAATGGAACGCCAGAAACCGTAACAACTGGACCAGAACCAGGCAACAGAATCTGAGCCACTTTGGTTCTAGAACCTGATCAGTCGGGTCACAACCAGAGAAACATGAGAGCAGACGAACATCATGAATATTAATATGACGGGTCAGAACCGGCAGATGGTTCTGACCCGTTTAGTCAGAACCATCTGACCCATTTAGAGTCTTATTCTACTTTCTGTTTTAATCTTATTTCTGAAACTAAAAATCATTCAATGATGTGAATCAGAAGCCGAAGGTCCAAATTTACTGCTGTTCAGGTTCAACAAGTGATTCAGCAGAACATGAAGGTCCTCCTTCCTTCCAGCTCTAAACGGACAGAAAACTGAAAAACTAAATCCCAGTTTTCCCTTCAGGATGTTGAACTTCCTGCTGAGCTTCCAGACGTCGGGACGCAGCGAGCCGCGCGGCACCTCCATCATCGTTACGCAACAGTAAAACCTGACGCAGCAGCTGATGGAAAACCAGCCGCCGCTAAATTTAGCCGGAACATCGACGGCATTGATCCGGAGCCCTACTTCTGGAACGCCACGGAGCGACGGCGCTCCCACCGCGGCGCCACGGCCAGGAGAGTGAGCGCTCCTGAAACAGAGAGGATCTCTGTGCTGCAGGGACTGCTGGGAAAGTAAAAACACAAAAACCACAGAAAACTCTAAAAACCAAAGAGTGGATCAGACTGAGCAGGAAAACCATGAATAACTAGTTAGGAAAGCAATCGGTGACTGTAGAAAGGAAAACATCACACTGCAGTCTGACTCGACCGCAGCGCTGATCCAACAGAACCTTGTCAGTCCGGTCCAGAGCTCTGGGGACTGAGGCCCGGTGGATCCGGCTGCGCTACCTTGCTGAAGGCGAACGGCGTCCAGCGGACCTCCCTGCGGCTGTCGGCCATCTTGGCCGTGCTCTTGGCCGGGTTCTTCTTCACGCTGTCGCGCAGGTTCAGGAGCGGCTGCGGGCGCGGCAGGAAGCCGGGACTGTGCAGGAGGTGAAGGTGGACAGCGACGCCTGGAGCGGCGGCCGATTCTGGAGCGGCGGCCGATTCTGGAGCGGCGGCCGATTCTGGAGCGGCGGCCGATTCTGGAGCGGCGGCCGGTTCTGGAGCGGCGGCCGGTTCAGGTTCTGCCTGTGCAGCTCGATGGCGTGCTGCCGCTGCAGCGGGTGCAGGTGGGCGAGGTACTCCTGGAGAGCCGGGTCCAGCGGGCGCCGCTCCGCCCTGCAGGGCAGCGGCTGGCGCATCTGATGCGCCGTCATCCTCCGCGGCCGGTTCCTTCAGAACCGGGTCGGAGCGTCTGATCCGGGCCGTCCAGAACCCGTCTGAGCCGACCTTCCTCGTCTCTCTGCAGCCGGTTAATCAGCAGCGGGTGGGGGAGGGCAGCATGAATAATCGATGCGACCCCTGGGTTCAACAGCAGGATGATGCAGACAGGAAGCTGCAGCCGCTCAGAGCATAGCCCGGTTCTGGTTCTGATCCGCCTGGGTCGGGTTCCAGGATCAGAACCTTTCCAAGAACAAAAGCAAAAAAAACCCCAAAAACAAAACAAACAAACTGCTATCTGGTACCATCAGAACCTTCTGGACTGAAGGAAATCCGTCCTGGCATCAGAACCGGGTCATTGGGTCGAGCTGAACCCGGTTCCAGAATGCCTCATCTAACTTGGTTCTGAAGGTCCACATAAACCGGGTCAAACAGAACCTTTACTGTTCCTGAACGTCTGGTCCGGTGAGGCTGCAGCGCCGCCTGCTGGCAGGTCCGACTCACTGAGCCCAGAACCAGAACACAGCTCCGGTTCTGGTTCCATCTGGTGGACCGGCCGGATCTGGAAACTCCAGATTCTTATGCATCTGAAGAGAAACCGTCCGGTTCTGACCCAGAAGAACTGGCTCCAGAACTGAAAAACACTCCAGAACCTCCTATATGAAGGTGAACCGGGCCTGTGACCAGAACCATGGTCCAGTGTTCAGAACCCAGCTGACTGGTTTCAGACCCGGTTATGAATTCTGCTCAGATGGTCCGATGGCTCGGAACCGACCGGCAGATCTAGTAAGAACCAGAACCAGAAACTGGACACGACCTGGTTCTGAAACACAGAGTCTGACCCAAACTCCAAGTACAGAACCGTGAGCTCTGAGTTCTGAGAATCGGATCTCCAGATGACGGGTCAGAACCGGCTGATGGATCTGAGGAGTGTCGACCCGTTTGGAGCCATCCTGTGAAAGAAAAGCAGTAGAACCTCTCTGCTCTGACCCGGTTCTGACCCAGACACGGCCAGGTGAACAGAACCAGACCAGGAGCCGGCTCTGGTCCTGGATGCAGCCCGACCCGGTTCTGACCCAGCGGGTTCTCATCAGGGACACCACAGGTTGCATGAGGCCGAATCCCATCACAACCCGGATCAGTTCTGGCCCGACCCGAACCCAAAGATCCAGAACGTTCTGCAGCGGACAGAACCGGACCGGATCCTGGCTCAGAACCGGACCGGATCCTGGCTCAGAACCGGACCGGATCCTGGCTCAGAACCGGACCGGATCCTGGCTCAGAACCGGACCGGATCGTGACGCAGCAGGGGGCAGGAACCTACCAGCAGGCGGCGGTGCAGCCGCTTCGTCCTCCTCAGGGTCCCCATGATGCGGCGGCCCACCTTCTTGGCGAACCACGCCGAGTTTAGCATGCTGCCGCGCGGCGTGACGCGGCGCGGCGCGGCGCCTCCTGCTGCGGCGGGCTGCGGGGCGGCAGCGCTGCTGCTGGCGGGACAGCAGTCGATAGGAGGCGGCCTGAGCTCCACCCGGCGCCACCTCCTTCCTCCTTCCTCCTTCCTGACACAAACAGGGAGGCTGAGAAGGCGAGCGGAAGCTGCGGCGGCGGCTTCAGGAGGCGCGGCGGAGCGGCGGAGGCGTCCTCCCGCCGGCGGCGGTCATGGCTCTGCAGCGGCTCCTCCGTCTGTCTGAGGCGCAACAACAAACTGCAGGACTGACGGAGGACGTGCAGCGAGCGGCGCCTGAGATCCCTCTGCAGTCTGACAGCATCACCCTCCTCCTCCTCATCCTCCTTCTGTTCCTCCTCCTCCTCCTCCTATTGCTACTCCTCCTCCTCCTCCTCCTCTCAGAGGAGGGCCAATCAGAACTTTGTCCCACTTCGGTTCTTTTCCGAAAAACAGAAAAAAGGAAACCGGTTTGACGGGAATCTGGGTCCGGAGAATCGCTGAATCATCAGATGAGCTGGGTCAGAACCGGACCGGTTCTGAACTGTTGCAGCTTCTTGCTGCTCACAGAGGAGCTGCTGGTCTCACCACGTTAATGAACTTTGAACCCGCGGATGGTCGGAGGTCAGCTTAGTGACAGGTCGGATCATTCGGTTCGCATCAGAACCGAGCCGGGAACCGAAAGCCGCGCAGAAAAGCGAAGTGGCGCCATCTTGGATTTAACCTTCATTTTACCAGAATAAAACCTCAATCAGTCCTGGCCAAGAACCGAACCAGGCCGGGTCAGAACCACTCTGGGTCAGAACCAGGCCGGGTCATAACCACTCTGGGTCAGAACCAGGCCGGGTCAGAACCACTCTGGGTCAGATCTAGGCCGGGTCAGAACCACTCTGGGTCAGAACTAGGCCGGGTCAGAACCACTCTGGGTCAGAACTAGGCCGGGTCAGAACCACTCTGGGTCAGAACCAGGCCGGGTCAGAACCACTCTGGGTCAGAACCAGGCCGGGTCAGAACCACTCAGGCTGGTTCAGAACCACTCAGGCTGGGTCAGAACCACTCTGGGTCAGAACCAGGTATGGAGAATGGACCATCATCACAGTTTAGAGGTCAGTAGTCCTCTGGAGGGCCACCAGGGGGAGCTATGAGAGCCTCGGGATGTTGGAGAGAAGATGATCTGATTTTGTTTTAATTATAAAATCTGATCTGTTTTTCAATCAATATAAATATGTTTTAAAAAGTCGTTCTAATAACTGAACTGTATTTTTGATGTCATAATCTTGAACAGTGTATTTATAAAATGTCGTTTATATATTTATATATTTCCCTTTTCAAAGTTTCTGTGGAAACAAACTGCTTTGTAAACAGCCGTGTTCCACTTCAAATAAGAGCATGAATATAAACATCTAACTACTTGAAGAATTACAGTAATGGGCTCTTTGCACCTGAGCTTCTGCGTTCGGGAAAAACGGCTCAAATGTTTCCCATCTATTGAAAACGGTACTTTACACCAGGTACCTGCACGCTTTTCCAAGGTAATAATTAATAATGTACATCGATCTGAAGCCCCGACAAGTAAGTCGGAGAAAGGTTTTAAGATGTTCGCCTCATTATACATTCACAGATACAAAGGTGAGTTTTACTTTCTTTAAACTTTGTGGCTAACAATAGCTTTAGCTTGTGCTAGTAGGCAATATTCTCGGACATTTTTCTTGTAAAAATCTGCTATTTAAGTATCTAAACATTTCTCATCCAATCTATCAGACAATGTTTGTGCCTTATTTTCAAGAATATTACCTGTATTTATTGTTAACGACAATAAACGCTGGGGGGAGGAGGGAGATTACGGTTCAGGCTTTTTGCTTCCAGCCTGACGAAGCACAACGAGCCCCAGGCTCATTACGGCGGTGTGTACGGGTACAGGCGGATCAGTGGCTCGGCTGTCCGGCTTAATTCAGGATCGCTTGGAAATCCATAAAAACTTAAAGTACATAGTATTGTTTTATTTGTGTCTTAAGTATGAGTTTGACTTTTATAGCAGTCATAGTAACTGAAAGCGGAAAAAGAGCCGCATTTGGGCATGCAGTTGTCGTCAGCGCGGCAGGTGCAAAGAGCCCATTAGCCTGAATGTTAAACTGCATTCAGCTGAAAGGTTTATCCAGAGAAATGTATTTAAGGAAGCTAAGTGCGGTGGCTAAGGTTAGCTCTGCTATTAGCATATTAGCAGAACAATGATGATGAGAAAAGGTTTGATAGCTAAAGAGTCAGAACACAGGACCTGAGATGATCAGATTAATTATTCCTACATGATTCCAAACGTTTCCAAATGACATCCTGACATTCCAGGTGAGCTTCAACATCATTTCCTGTCCAGTCTGAGGTCAACATCCCATCCAGAACCGCTGGTTCCGGTCCGGGTCAGAGCCATGGTCCAATCAAAGAGCTTTCAGGAAACCCGGATTTTAAATCGACCCAGTGAGGAAACATCAAGGAAAACGATTCTGGACCCGACTGAAAGAACGTTCCAGGAACACACGGTTCTGGTCGGACCCGGTTCTATTTCTAAACCTGTTCTGCTTGGATTTTATGTTAATGGGCAGCAAAGGGGGGTGGGGGGGTATCACCTGTATCAGTGGGGGCAGGGGGAGTTACCTGTATAGGGTTTACCTGTATGGGGGTTACCTGTATAGGGGGAGTTACCTGTATAGGGTTTACCTGTATGGGGGTTACCTGTATAGGGGGAGTTACCTGTATAGGGGGGTAGGGGTTGGACGAGCAGGAGGGGAGGGGGCTGTCCTCTCCGTGGGGGTAGAGGGTGGAGGGCGTGGGGGAGGGGAGCTCCGGGGGGAAGAGTCCTAACGACGAGGAGCCGTCCAGGAGGAACTCCAGAGACGCTACCTGGAGGACAACAGGGGGGGGAGGGGCAACAGCTGAGACTGGACCGGTTCTGGACCTCCTCCAGGAGAACCAGACAGAACCAAACAGATCCTTCTCTGCCAGCTGGGTTTCCTCGTGCACAGACCCAAACCCTGGGTTCTGAACCGGCAGGGTCCACTAAGGAGAACACCCCGGTTCTGGACCGGGTTCTGGACCAGGGGGAGGCAGTCTGGGAATGTTTCAGGAACCTCTGAGCTTCTGGGCCCTGAACACGGCCAGAACTTTAACAGGAGGTCCGATTTGTCCCAGAGAACATGATGATCTCAGCATGGAGGCTTCAGCTACAACCACTGGGGGCGCCAGAGGACAAGCTAGTGATCAGAACCAGAATATGGTTTGGGTCTGTGCACCTGAAGAAAGCGGGTCGCTGTCAGGAGGAACAGGAAGTTCAGAAACAGAAACCACAGAAGAAGAGTGAGACACATGGAGGGACAGAGAGCAGCTGACAGGACCAGACTGGACCAGACCGGACCACTGAGCAATGAGGTTCTGAAACGAGTCACATCATAAGAAGCGCAGCATGCTGACGGTTCTGGTCCGATCCAGAAGGCAGACCGGTACCAGGTTGGTTTTTAATGATGTGACGATACAGATGGGACCGGAGACACTGAGCAGACGAGACATGATCAGAACCCAATACAGCAAACAGAACCATCAGAACCGTCTCAGCTGGGTCTCGTTCTGAGTCCGATCAAACCCAGATGGATCAGAGCTTCAGAACCAGAAACACATCAGGGTCCAACAGGACCAGCCATCACCGCTGCTCCCCGAATAGAAAGTGACCCTGAGTCCTGTCTAAACTCCCTCAGACTGAAACATGAAGCAGCAGAACATTATGTCCAGGTCAGAGGTCAGAGGTCGCGCTGCGGTATTCCAGCTTCCCAGCAGGAAGCAACGACTTGACTCACCAGATCCTCAAGATGAACCATTTTCTGATGCCTGCTCTGGATTTATGGATATATTCTGATCTAGTGACGTTTCATTTCCAGACGACATTAAACCAAAGTCACTCTGGTTACAGATGTCCAAAGTAGGATGACCTGGACTATATCTGGATGAACTGGACTATATCTGGATGAACTGGACTACACCTGGATAAACTGGACTACACCTGGATGAACTGGCCTACACCTGGTTGAACTGGACTACACCTGGACTACACCTGGATGAACTGGACTACACCTGGATGACATGGACTACACCTGGACTACACCTGGATGAACTGGACTACACCTGGATGACATGGACTACACCTGGATGAACTGGACTATATCTGGATGAACTGGACTACCCTGGACCACACCTGGACTACACCTGGATGAACTGGACTATATCTGGATGAACTGGACTACCCTGGACCACACCTGGACTACACCTGGATGAACTGGACTATATCTGGATGAACTGGACTACACCTGGATGAACTGGACTACACCTGGATGACATGGACTACACCTGGACTACACCTGGATGAACTGGCAGCAGAGACAGAAACATCCTCCATCCTCCTCTGATTGGGTGATGGCTAAGCCCTCAGTTGCAGTCAGGAGGTCAGAGGTCACTGGAGGAGCTCCAGCTGATGAAGGTCAGGGGGCAACAGGAACATGAACAGGTAAACACATCCAGCATGAGCAACGGATGGACAGAGAGACAGGAAGAGAAGAAACTCCTGATCTGAACCTGCAGGCCTCATGGTTAAGGATCCGGATCCAAATAGATCATAACTGGCTCTCAAACTAAAGTGGATCAAGTCTGGATTTGGATCCAGATTTGGATCCAAATCTGCATCTCAGAGAGCTGCTGTTATGAGCCCTGTAGACCAGAGAATCGGGATCTGGATCAGATCGGGATCCGGATCAGATCGGGATCCGGATCAGATCGGGATCCGGATCAGATCGGGATCCGGATCAGATCGGGATCCGGATCAGCTTTAGCACAGATTAAGTATTAGGCTCCGCCCCCTACCTTCATAGGTGAGATGTGGGCGTGCGTGACATATCCGTGGACGTTCTCGATCTGATTGAGGTTCTTCTCGGCGACCTGGACCAGCTCTGGCCCGGCCCCCTCCTCCGTGAGGGGTGGGGGGCTCTGGTCCTGGGGGACGAGTCCTCATCGTGGTGCCGGTACTTCTGGGGAGGACAGGAAGGAAAGCGGGTCAGTGAGCCCCAAGTTCTGACTGTCAGGCTTCAGCAGAACCTGCAGCAACCAGAACTGGCCGCAATCAAGATGAACTGAACCCGAACCGCTCGGTTCTGACAACCAAAAGATGGGATGAATGGAACTGATCCGTTTAAAGTCAGGGGAATATCTATGCTAACTGGTTGGTTCTGACAGAACCAAACAGAACTGGCAACACGGTGACGGGATGAACCAGCATCCAGGAGACTGGTTAAACTGGACCAGTTCACCTCTGACCCAAACGGTTCCAATTCGACTGAACACTATTGATTTAAGATAGATATCTTTATAGATCAATAATCCTCAGAGGAAGATGAAGCAGCTGGAGCATGAAGAAACAGAAACATTCAGTATTAAATGAGATTTAAGAGAAAAATTATTGGTAACACTTTATTGGATAGGTTGTGAATAAACCTGTCATGAAGCACCATAAACATGTCAAAACACCATCATAACATCGTCATAAACATGTCATAACACCGTCATCAACACGTCATGACACCATCATCAACATGTCATGACACCATCATCAACATGTCATGACACCATCATCAACATGTCATAACACCGTCATCAACATGTCATAACACCATCATCAACATGTCATAACACCATCATCAACATGTCATAACACCATCATCAACACGTCATAACACCATCATCATGTCATGACACCATCATCAACATGTCATGACACCATCAACATGTCATGACACCATCATCAACATGTCATGACACCATCATCAACATGTCATAACACCGTCATCAACATGTCATGACACCATCAACATGTCATGACACCATCATCAACATGTCATGACACCATCATCAACATGTCATGACACCGTCATCAACATGTCATAACACCGTCATCAACATGTCATAACACCGTCATCAACATGTCATAACACCGTCATCAACATGTCATAACACCGTCATCAACATGTCAAAACACATCATAACATCGTCATAAACATGTCATAACACCGTCATCAACATGTCATGACACGGTCATGAAGATGAGTTATGTCTTCATAAATATTTTTGACTGTTGTCAAAGTGTCATTTGGTAAATCATGACACTTTTAATACAAAGTTGACTTTATTCAAAATGTCTGACATCTTGACATTAACCAAGAAATCATGATCTGACATAAATTTGTAATAAAAGTATTACAGATTAAACTTTAAAAATTATGTAAATTTATCTGTAATATTACATTGCTCTGCCATTTTGTTTAGTCTTAAATTTCTTAATTTAATTGATCCTAAAGTTTCACAGCAAGATGTTAACCAGTAACTTATGAACTTGAATTTGAAACATTATTTGAGGCTGTTTTTGGTGCAGTACACCATTTCCACCAGTGAGAGGCAGCAGTGCACGAACAGGCGTGCAGTGTGCTGGTGAAGAAGAACTCAAGTTATAACGGCCAGACCTTCTGTTTAAAGAGAAGCAGAAGTTTGAGACCTAATACATATGAGGTATGTGTCTTATTAACTTTACATTTTCTTTGAGAGAATAACATTAACTATGTTCCTTCTTTTTAATGTTAATTATAAGCAATTCAAGCCAATGCTACCTGCTGCCCACTATGAGAAAGTCCAGAAGAGATTCACCCAGTTTGAATTCATGAAAAAGCCTTTTCCCCAAGATCAACACTGACCACCACCATCTCAACAACAGCTACAATTTCTGAGCCTTTCCAGCACTTTACAGACCTGCTTCCTGGACATGGAGACAAGAAGATGATTCTCTCTGCTAAATTAACTGAATAGATCATTTATTTAAATGATCCAGACATCATTTAAATAAATGAGGTGAACAGGTCAGGTGAACCTGTTCACTGACAGTCAGCAGGTCAGTGAACGCCTCACAGAAAACCCGACAGTCAGCAGGTCAGTGAAAGCAGCGCAGGGAGAACTGGGTTCTTGGTGGAACCAAGCAAACTAATGGAGTAGTGGGAGATCCAGGCTCTGACACACACCTCCTCCTCTTCCTCCTCTTCCTCCTCTTCCTCGCTGCTATAAATAGGAGCAGCAGAGAAACGAGGAAGAGGAGGAGGAAGACGAAGCTGACCGGAACAGAACCAGCAGAACCCTCTGGTATCTGGGTTCAGTTCTGTTGCTCTGAGCCGGAGCAGAACCTCCATGTTGGTACCAACCATTACCAGCAGAACTCCACATCCCAGGCAAGGTTCTGGACTTTGACTAAACCACTGAAGAACTGCAACTCTGGTTCTTTTCTTTTCCAGTCAGTCTGTTCTGGTTCTGCTGATGACCCGGTGTGGACCCAACTTCCCGGCCCACAGCATGAACCCTCCACCACTGTGACGGACAGCCGGGGAGCTTCATCTGAACTGGGTTCTGGTTCTGGTCCCATCGGTCCCAGAGCTCTGGAGCTTCATCCAGTCTGGCGGCCATCTTGTTTCTAGAGAACAGGTTTTTGTCCTTCAACCCTTGAAAGCAGCCATGCAGACTCAGAGTCCTGACCTTTGACCCTGGCAGTCAGAGATGGAGCTCAGTCTCTGCAGCAACGATCCGTGAAGCGCCCGCCCCAGTCGATCCGGCTGATCAATCGGGCTAATTAAGAGGAGTGGAGCCTTTACTACCAATCTGCAGTCAGAACCAAGCTGAGAGCCATCGGGTCGGTTCTGCTGCTGAACAGAACCATGTCCAACCAGAGAACCTCCACACAGGATTCAACATTTTATTCCTTGCTGACCTCTGAACTCTTGAAGTATTAAAGGTCACCTATTTCCTTGCTCCAACAGGTTAGCATAGATCTATGGGCTACAGAATGTGTTCAGTTCATCAGATTTTATTCTGCCTGTTGATCTTTCAGGAAGACGTCTTAGAGTCGCTGTCTCTTTAAATCCAAATGAGCTGCTGCTGCTGGCCACGCCTCCCATCTCATCGCAAACAGATGTGCAACGATGCAACTGTGTATCCTTGAAAAGCAGAACTGGAGCCTCCTGCACAATCAACCAGAATGCAGCAAGTGGTTTCTGGATGGTAAGTCAGTAACAGAACTCCTGTCTTTTCCAGCAGCCATTGCGCAGCTCTGCTGTTGCTGGTGACGGCCTGGGCTTCGCTGAACCGACTGATGTTGTTCAGAACTTTTGTTTCTTGTCTCAATCTGGAACAGAAACTGAAACCAGGAAACAGAGGGCTGCAGATCAGCTGGTGTGATTTGTTTAGATGATGACATGATAATTTAATATCACAACGTTTATCACAATACAGATTTATTTCAGTTAATTCATTAATCTGATCAATATGATCACATATCAATTCATATCAAAACCAAAGGACAGAATTTTACTGATTTATTCCTGAGCTCTTACAGGAATGAAATAAAAAGTTCAACATTTCTAACGTGATCGGGCTGTTAATCATTTAATCATCACCTACAGCTGACCTGAGGTCACAGGTCATCCAGTCTCCAACAGAACCAGAACATCATCCTGATTATTTCATGTTTTTGATTTTCTCCCTGCGAGACGGATCGTTCACAAAGCATCATGGGTAATGAAGCTCCTCCAGGACTCTGTTGTTGTTTCCTGTGGAGCACATGGACCTCACACATGCACCGCCACGCCTGCCGCCGTCGGCCAATCACAGTGTGGCCCTGCAGCCCAGCTGGCCTCTGATTGGTCGGCTCACAGAGGGAGAAGCGACAGGCAGCTTCAGTGGCCAATCAGGAGACGGCAGGTTTAAATACGAGGTTTTATTCCCTGAGCTGAGTCTGACAGGTGCAGGACAGGAAGCAGGTCAGGAATCTGTAGGATGTTCCGGGTCGGAGGTTCTGCTGAGGCCCGGATCGCCGTGGCGCCGCGTTCCGTTACATAACAACAACAGAACCGGGTCAGCATCAGAACACGCTGTTCCACATCGCTGTGTTATGAAGGAGGAGCGTCTCCAGAAAACCAGCATCGACCCCGGCTCAGGTCAAAGGTCACTGGCCCGTTTAGGGTCCAGTTCACTGATTTATTCCAGCTGTTCCCAAAACCAACTGACTGGATGGAGGAGGTTCTCCTGCAGATCCGGGCCCTGGTCCAGAACCGCCAGCAGAACCGGTCGGTTCTGGCTCTGGATGTCCTGCAAGACGAGTCTGGATGAGGAACAGAACCCAACCGGACCGGACCGCAGCTGGTTGTCCGGTCCAGATCCAGGAAAAACAGAACCAGAACCTTAGGATCCTGGAAACATCCAGAGAAGTCTGAGGGGTGCCAAGTTCTCCAGAACCGGACCTGCTGGGCCCTCTGGACTGAGACCCGGTTTATAACTGTTACTCATAGACAGAACCAGGACAGAACCAAACCTGACCAAGACCCGGACCCAAACCGCACCCAGAACCAAATGACTGTGACCAAGCAGGACCTGGAACCAAACAGGACTCTGATCCAGAACCGAACGTGGACACAGACCGGACCGGGCCGTGTCCAGACCGGCTGTGTCCGGACCGGACCGGGCCGTGTCCGGACCGGACCGAGCGGTGTCCAGACCGGACCGGCGGTGTCCAGACCGGCCGTGTCCTGACCGGACCGGGCCGTGTCCGGACCGGACCGGGCCGGCCGTGTCCAGACGGCCGTGTCCGGACCGGACCGGGCTGTGTCCGGACCGGACCGGCCGTGTCCAGACCGGACCGGCCGTGTCCGGACCGGACCGGACCGGGCCGTGTCCGGACCGGGCCGTGTCCGGGCCAGGCCGTGTCCAGACCGGCCGTGTCCAGACCGGCCGTGTCCTGACCCACCTTGCAGCCGAACATGAGGGAGATGGTGCTGCTGCTGCAGGCCACCTTGCAGTGGCAGAGCATCGGGGAGAAGCACTCTCCCTGCCGGACCCGGGGGACTCGGCGCCGGGACATCGGGCCGCCAGCCGGCTCCTTCTGGAGCGCCGCCGGCTCCTCGCGCGCCGCCGGCCGCTGCCGTTGCTGCTGCCGCCGGCCGAGCTCCCCCCGCCTCCCCTTCCTCCTGCCTCTCCTCCTCCTCCTCCGCTGCTGCTGCTGCTGCTGCTCCCTGCTCTCACCATCCGCCCTCATTCCTGGCGTCGCTGCATGGCGGCGGGGAGGAAACGACCCCCAGAGCTCTTCCTGCATCCAGGGAGAGCCCCCCCAGGATGAGCGGCGTGTTCTCTGCTCTCAGGCTGCGGCTCGGCTCCCTCCGTCTCCGCGCCGCGCCGTCCTCCTCTCTGAGCGGTGAAGAGCGCTCCGGCGTCTGCGTGAAGCTCTGCTCTGTGGGGGCGTGAGCGGGGGGAGGGGCGGGGCGGCAGAGGCTGGTCACATGACGCGTCGGGAACGAGGCGCGAGGGGGGTGTATCCTGAGGCGAGGTAGAGCGATGTAGGACAGAGGAAGAGAGGAAGAAATGGTGATGAAGGCTGGAGGTGAGGAAGAGGAGGATCTCAGGAACTTTCGACTCTTAGCGTTCGGTCCGGTTCAGTCCACCGAGGAGACGGACCACCTCCATCTGAACCTCACCAACACCAGCGGCTCTGATTTCCTGCAAAGTTCTGACCCAGCAACGCTACAGGAAGTGAGCCTCCGGTTCTGTTGGACCGATCAACCGGGTTGGGTTCTGTTTTTCTGCTTCTCTGTCAGACCAAAACCGGGACAGGACCGGCCCAAAATGGACCGGCTATACTGGACCACAGCAGAACTTTCTGAAGGTTCTGTCCATCAGTCATTTGGACCCACAAGCTTTTGTCTCTGTGCGCGGTCCGGCGTCGTCGGAGTGACCCCATGTGAGCTTTTAAAAGTCTTTATGTGTAGTTTCGGGAACTGACAGTCTGACAGGTCGACGCTTCGCTGCCTGGCTCCAAACCACAGCAAGATTAAAACACAATGACCTGCAAACGATTTGGACATGAACCAATCACTCATTCACACACAAACAGGCTGACCAATCAGCATTCAGGGGGCGGTGCTTCCTCCTCAGATTTAAAGAAGCATCTAGAAGTGGCAGATCCTTGGGGGAGGGGCTACCCCTGGAAGGGGGCGGGGCTAAGCGTCCCGAGGCATCGATTATTCCAACTAGAAACCAAACTGAGCCTCAAGAGGACAACAAGATCCAAACTGGGATTGAATAAAACCCTAATGATGTGTTGCTCTCTGACCGGAGGTGTTACTGCTCCTGCACACCCAGAGGCCGGCTCCATGGATTACTGCGCAGGTAGAGGAATGGACTGGATCTCAGAGGGACCGGGTCGGGAGCGGATCCGGACGGGTTGGGAGCGGATCCGGACCGTTTCGGGAGCGGATTCTGGACCGTTTCGGGAGCGGATCCGGACCGGGTCGGGAGCGGATCCGGACCGGGAGCAGATCCGGACCGTTTCGAGAGCGGATCTGGACCATTTCAGGAGCGGATCCGGACCGGGTCGGGAGCGGATCCGGACCGTGTCTGGAGCGGATCTGGACCGGGTCAGGAGCGGATCTGGAGTCTCCTCCTGAGGCTGACAGCAGCAGCCTGGGAGAGAACCGTTGGGATTGTTGGACCGGGCCGTTTCTCTGCATGTCCGCCCACCGTCTGTCGCTCGCTGTCCTCCGCAGAGCGTTAGTCATCCAGAGAGGGGGAGGGTCGGAGCGGGGGGGCAGGAGACGGGACAGAATGTGAGAACGGAAACGCAGGCTCCGCGCTGCCTTTAGATATCAGTCACATGTTTTAATGTTGATTAAGTCTGGGGGAGAAAAACCCGCCTGAGGAAGACATGCAGAGTTTGTAGTTGGAGATGAAGATGAGGAAGAAGAAGGTCTCAGATGCTGCTGATGAATTATAGATTTAATCCAGAACTCTGCTGCAGTAAACAGAGTTTGTTGTTTCCTGAACCAGAACCACTTCTGGGTCAGATTTATTCAACAGAACCAGGATCGCTACCTGTTCCGGAAAACGGTTCTGGTTCCATAAAAAGCTTCAGGATGTTAACGTTAAAAAAAATCAATTCACAAAAAATTTAAAATGTTCCAAAATCCATTTTAGCAAACGAACCAAATCTGCTCCTCCGTTTTGTGACGTACGCACGAGTAGCAAACCCAAACCCACGATTAACAGGAAGCTGCTAAAGTGAAACGGGTTCAACTTCCTTCCAACTTCCTGGAAGGAAAACATCTGGACAAAATTCCTGTGAAGACCAAACTGGACAAGAGCAGCAGAGAGAATCCTGGAGATCCACAAACACACAGAGGACGACCACAGGATGGCGCCATGTTGGATGCAGACAGGTTGGATGCAGACATGTTGGATGCAGAACGTTGGATGCAGACATGTTGGATGCAGAACGTTGGATGCAGAATGTTGGATGCAGACATATTGGATGCAGAATGTTGGATGCAGAACGTTGGATGCAGAATGTTGGATTCAGAACGTTGGATGCAGAATGTTGGATTCAGAACGTTGGATGCAGACATGTTGGATGCAGACATGTTGGATGCAGAACGTTGGATGCAGACATGTTGGATGCAGAACTTTGGATGCAGAACGTTGGATGCAGAATGTTGGATGCAGAACGTGGATGCAGACATGTTGG